TTCATTGGGACGATTCTACCACATCACTACACTTAAATAGATAATCTTATCTGATATTTTAGACTATAATATAAAATATACTAATTAGCTTTCTCAGTTTCGTAATTGCCGTTAATGAAAACTTATAATTGTATTACTTTTTAGTACGTTCTAATCTGAATGCATAGCTTTCATGATTATACTTATATTTGATCACAATGAAAAAATCAATTTTATAACAATCTGATGGTTCTGAAAATAAAGTTGGTATACGCTAAACTTTAGTTTTCTTTAATAACTATTATTAATCCTATTATTATGATTAGAATGAAGTATATGAAACTGGAATAACTAGCCGTGTATGTATTTCAATTGTTTTAATCACTTGCATAATCACTTTTTAGAAACTGAATCTGATTAGATAGGAATTTTTTAAACGATTTATAAGACTGTAAAAACAATATTGTTAATTTGTTTAGTATTTTTTTTTTATAAATATTTCTGGTTTTGTCTTTTTTAAGATATAGAATTTTTTTAAAAATGATTCCTAAATCTTTGAAACTCGCTCAAAGAAAACCAGTTTTTAAAGTATATCAAGAAAAAAAAAACAAAGATAATTTGCATCATCCTTATAAAATTACCTCTGATATTAATTCGTATGCAACTGCTTCGAATAACTCTTACGATTCTTATGTTACTTCTACTATAGAATCTTCATATCCTATTATCAAACCTTTATCTCCTGTTATTAAACCTTTATCTCCTGTTATTGAACCTTTATCTCCTGTTATTGAACCTTCTAATATCGAACCTTTGTCACCTATTATTGCATCTTCTTCCAATTCAATTAATCCTAAAAATAAATCTTCTGATATTGATTTATTTAGTGATATCGAAGATGATAGTGAACCCGAAGATATCAATGATAAGAAACTGTGGCCTAACTCTGTTGTAAAATCACTACTTGTATATCTTTCTGATCATATGAAAGACTATCAATTTAAAAAAAAACAATTTTATTATAAAGCTGCTCTTTACCTTGGCAAGGGAAAAACTGGATCGCAAGTTGCATCCAAAATAAGGTGGTTAATTAATAAATATATGAAAGAAAATGCAAATAAAACGGGAAAAGCAGTATCAAAGTGGATATAAATGAATGAAATTTTCGGTAACCGCGAGAATGTAAATCCAGAATATACAATCGATAGCACGGGAAAGGTAATTTATACAGATTTATTTACTGATAACTATGTTTATTTTTTTTATATCAATTTTATATTAAATAATCTTTAATTTGTATAATAGACTTCTAAAAATACTAATCAATTAGACAATTCATTAAAAAGAAAGAAACGTAAGTCAAGTGAAGATGATGAAGTTTATATTCAAACTATGAACACAATCGGCGAAAATAAAAAAATAACTGCAGAAACAAAGAAACAACTGTACGATTTAGAAAAAGAAAAGTTAGAATTCGAACGTAAAAAATTTGAACATCAAAAACATATCGAATTAGAAAATATAAACTTAGAATTAGAAAAATATAAATTAGATTTAGAGTATAAAATGAAGTTAGATTTAAGTATTAAAGAACTAGAATTAAAATATAAGTATAATGCGGAGATAAAGAAAAATTTGTAATAAATAAATAAATAAGTTTATAATAAAAACGTTTTATTTTTATCAGCAAATTATTTACAAACTTTAACAAGTGAATTAATTGTCATAAGCTTGAATTTGTCTTGGAATAATTTCGAATACAATTGTTGGATTTGTATAAGAAATTTTTGTAAGTTCATGATCTTTTTTATAACAATTTTCTTCACTAATTCTTTTAAGATTTTTTTTTTCATGACTAACTTTTTACATTGATCTTTCAATGATTTATAGACTTTATAAGCTGATTTCCATTCAGCATAAATAGTAAATCTTGTTTTATATGAGAAAATTTTATTCGTCTATCACGCCACAAGTAGTATCTGGCATGGCTATGCTAGGCATACCGTGGATCAAATAATGTCCAACCATTTATTTTGGATTATTCCATAATCCAAAGAATTTTTCGATTCCCCTTGATATAGAGTTGGTAGTGCAGAGTACTTGGAGATGCCAATAATGCACCAAATTGGTGCACCAGCTGGCACACCAACGTAGGTATGTTAGACGTCACTTTCAAATTTCCGTCAATTTTTAATTGACGTACGTAGCTTCGAAATTGTAAATTCAAGTACTTCATATTTTAACCGGTATCGGTATGATTTTCGATTAAAAAAAAAAAAAAATTTGCAACGCAAATCAAATTATTTTTATTAATAATTGTTAAATCCACATGTTCAAGATTAAACAACTGCTAAACGCTATATGATTTTTGCAAGTATCTCGGCGAATACAACCACAACAAAAAGTACAAAGCGAATTATTCTTACTACTTTCACAATTTGTTTTATTACAATTACAGCCATCATTTTTCTTTAAACCTTGTTCAATTTCTTGGTTAGATGTTTCAATTGTAATATTTAATGATCAGGTTAAGTTTTGTTGAGCACCAGCATTTCGTAAAGAAATAAATTTGCCCATTGAAATTACATCAAGTTCAGGAAATTCATCAGTACCTAAGAGTTCTAATTCGTTGCTGAAAACCATGTATCTAAAATTTCAAACTTGCTTCCAACTTGATATGAGTCGCTCGTCTATCCATTTTTAGCCTATCAATATCAGGAATCCAGGTTTTAAATCAACGGTTATTTAAGAGCAACGTACAACAGGTATTAGCGAGCAATCATATTTTAAGATGTATATAGTATAGAATGTAAAATACTCGTTCTAATGCTAACCCTATTAATGCATAATGCCAAAACAGATATTAAAATAGAGGTATTTCGCACACTATTCTGGATGTACTAAGTTATAAGAATAAGAGATGTAAACAACTCATATTAAATATTTAGACCAATTAGACCAATAAATCGCTAAACTTAGAGACTAAGGGTGTTCTCAATATGATTAAATAGCTACTGAGATAGTACATAATTGAAGCGATCCTTATTGTAAATTTGCTAAATATTCATAACACAAACGTGGATAATAAATTTTAGCTAATCAGAACAAGTTTATGACAAAAAAAGGTGGTTTCAAAGTTTCTTTTTTTTTCACCACGATAATGAACTTACTTACCAGTCAAACTACTTTCCACTAATTAAAAGATTGAGCACCGGTCTATTAATTTATAGGCTTGTGAGAATCTTAAATTAATATAAATAAAAATTTAAGCGAGAGATTTATTAAATATATTAATTGAGAATGCTAAATGAGAAAAAATATTGAATCCTGATGAAGAGTTTTGAAGACCAATTTCAGCCTATTAAAGATTTTTAAAGCTATTAACGTTTGTATTCTTTAAATACTATATGCTTTAAATTTTCATTATTACAATAGCTACTTAATAATATTTTATGCAATGCTACTGCACTAAGTAGACACCACCAAGTTATAGCTTAAGCTGCAGCTCATCGTCTTTGGTCAGCTTGGCTTAGTTATGGGGCTAAAACTAGCTTCAAATAAGCTGTTAACTATCTGAAGACAGTTAACAACAAATCACATATTTAATTAGTGTAATTCCGAAGAATAATAATAAAAAAAAAATTACATTTTTATCATTCACTTAAAAAACTTGGTAAGGCGATAAAAAATATATGTTGAATGTTCATTAAATCTCATACTACGTATAAGTTCAACTCTACGTGATGCAATATCTAGAGAGTGGAATCGATGAGTTTCGAGCATTGGTTGATCACAAACTCCAGAATTTCGAGCATCGGTAAAAAATTTTGACCGATGTTCGATGAATTTTTAAAAACATAAAAAAATCGTGTAACATTTAATTTATCAATTGTATTGCTATTGCTATGTTTTTAATTTATCAATTGTACTGTATCAAATTTATCAATTATACTGCTATTGCTATCAAAACAATAGTAAAATTTTAATTTTGACCGATGCTCAATGATTGACCGAATTAAAACTCAATGAATGAAGTTTATTTCGATGCTCGAAATTTTCGATCGATGCCCGAATAACTATTCACCGATTCCACTCTCTAGCAATATCATGAGGCTTAAGTGGAGAATTTCATGTTTTGTTGCATTTAATGCATTGTTTAATCAATTATGAGTTTTTGTGAATATACATGCACTTCGTGATATATAGCACTTCATTCCTGGTATAAAAAATTAAATACAAAAATAATGCAAATAAAAAGAAATTAATAATTAATTTGATTAGATTAGTAATAAATAACTGGTTATTTAAAGAATTAAATATAAAAAAATGATTATTAGTAGAGTAATTGTGCTATAAAAAAGTAATTATTAAGTAAATGTATATAGAGAAAAAGATTGTTAAAGAAATAATTTTATTAAAAAAATAATTGTTAAAAAATAATTAAAAAAATAATAATATATAGATTATTTAAGAATAATTTACAATAATTGTCGCAGATCATAATGAAATCGGATTAAAATAAAACTAGGGACCTTTCTTGCTCATCTTTAAAGCCTATAAAACCCACTTATACTCTTTTATTAATAAAACTAACTCTAAACCCTAACCCTAAAAAATGTCCCCCAAAAAATTTAAAATTTTCCTAAAAAAATAGAAAAATTTCATTTTAATCCGATTTCATTTTAATCTGCCACAATAATTTCTAATAAATTTTGTTGTTTAATTTTAGCATATTCTCTTACTGTTCTATTTGTTTCATCTTCTACTGTTTGTTCAATTAATTCATTATCTTCATTTGGTTCTAATATTATTTTATCATCATAATCATTATTTCCCCAAATATCATTATGTTTTTCAATAAAATTATGTAATATTAATGCTATATCAATAATATTAGTTGCTTTTTTTGTATCTTTTATTCTCATCTTTTTTAAAAAAGGAAATCGAGCTTTTAATCGACCAAAAGCTTGTTCTATAACAACTCTTGTTTTACTGTGTGCAATATTATAAAGTTTTTGTTGCTAAGCTTGTAAACTTTGTGGATCTTTAAAAGGTGTCATAACCCATGGAAGTAATGGATAAGCTGAATCAGCTATTAAATAATCTTTTTCTTTAAAATAATTTTTATAATTTTTAAAAATATCTGAATTTGAAAATACTTTTGCATCATGAACTGATACAGGCCATCCAATTTCATATGAAATAAAAGAACCTTTATAATCTACAGTAGGGATAAAAGAAGGGTCCTAGGACAAAATTACCATATTGTATTCAGAACGACCTCTAACCTCTTTTACAAACT